GAGAGAGAGGGAGACACAGAATCTCTGAGCTGTCAGCACAGAGCCCGGCACAGGGCTCGAACTCACGAACCATGAGATCATGACTTGAACCGAAGCCAGATGCCCAACTGACTGATGCCCCATGTGTTGTAAATTTTAAATTCGTCACTTTGATTGCTGTGTAGAGAATGGATTATAAGGGAGCAGAGTGGAGGTGGGTTTTGTACTTCCTCAATACTTTAAACAGAATCACAATATGACCCAGTAATTCCAATCATAGGTCACACTGAACTTAACAATAAAAGTTTATGGGGGCTCATTCAGTAGAGCGTGTGACTCTTGATCTCTAGGTCATGAGTTTGAGCCCCATGTTGGATGTGGAGATTATTTAAACAAACAAATCCTTAAAAAATAAAAGTTTATTTTACGGGCAAAAAGTGGGCTTATTTGGGAAGAGGAGAGAATTACAATTTGGGACAAGCAAGCTACAGCAAAAACATAGGCTAGTCCAACAAACAGAGCTGAGGAATTTATTTTTATGGAGAAGGTGGAGGAAGTTAGGAGGGGTTGTTCTGAAGGAAGGTTCCTTGGAGTTTTCTCCAAAGAAGTTCCGGGTGACGATAGTTTCTCACTGGCTGAGTTGCAGCAGTGGTTGATTTCTCATGGGAAATGCAGTGTCCATCTTTCCCTTTTGGGGACTGATTGTTTCCTAGGGAGGGTTGTTCTGTTGGGGTCGGAAATGGACAGTTCTTCCTGTGATTGATGGCTTGTGGTTTAACGTGAAAGCTTCCCCTTCTGGCCTCCCGACTTCAAAGGCATGAGGTATGGATATGTGCTACAACATGGACGAATCTTGAAAATACTATGCTGGGTGAAAGGAGCCACACGGACAAGGCCACGGATTGTATAATTCCTTATATGAAATGTCCAGAATAGGTAAATGCATGCGGACAGGGAAACAGAGCTGTGGCTGGTGGCAGGAGGGAACGGGTTTTGACTCTTAATGGATGTGAGGTTTCCATCTGGGGTTATGGATAAGTTCTGAAACTAGATACTAGTGATGGTTACACAACATTGCAAATGCATATAATGCCACTGAATTGTAAACTTTAAATGGTTAAAATGGGGCACCTGGGCGGCTCAGTTGGTTCAGCGTCTGACTCTTGATCTCAGCTCAGGTCATGATCTCATAGTTCTCACGGTTCATGAGATTGAGCCCTGAGTCAGGCTCTGTGCTGACAGTGTGGAGCCCCCTTGGGATTCTCTCTTTCCCTATTTCTCTCTGCCCCTGCCCCTTATGTGTGCTCTCTCTCTCTCTCAAAAATAAATGAACTTAAAAAACCTTAAAAAATGGTTAAGATGGTAAGCTGTATGTTACATGTATCTTACCACCATCACCACCATAATAATAGTCCCAATCATAAGCATCATTGTCATCATCATAATTACCTAAGGGTTTATTTAAAATGCAGCTTCTCAGGTCTTCTCTAGAGAGAATATGATTCCTCAGGTCTGGGGAATCCTAGAGAACTGCCACTAAAAAAAAAAAAAAAGAAGAAGAAAAGAGTGGAAGCAGGAAGACCAGGTAGGAAGAAGGGTGACTTTGAGTAGGAAGGGACAGTGGCAGTTAGATTGAGAAAGGCATGGGACAGGGGTGCCTGACAGGCTCAGTCGATAGAACATGTGACTCCTGAAGTCTGGGCCATGAGTTTGAGTCCCATGTTGGGTATAAGGATCACTTAAAAAAAAAAAAGAGAAAGGCATGGGACATATATTTTTAATTTTTTAAATGTTTATTTATTTTTGAGAGAGAGAGGACAAGTGTGGGAGGGGCAGAGAGAGAGAGGGAGACACAGAATCAGAAGCAGGCTCCAGGCTCTGAGCTGTCAGCACAGGGCCCGATGTGGCATGGGACATATTTTGAGGGGAGAGTCAACAAAACAGGCTCATGGTTTGAACAGGGTAGTAAGGTAAAAGAAGAATCAGAGATGGTTCATAGGCTTTTGGCTTCAACGTCTGGTTGGAGAATGGTGCCATTTATAGAGCTGAGAGATTCTAGGGAGGCCATAAGTTTGGGAAAATGAAGAGTTTTGTGCCTACTTAAGCAAAGTAGTATCTTTTCTTGGAGAGAGTCCCCGTTGCAGAGACTGCTAGATGCCTATTATAGCCCATCCATTCTCCCTTTCTTTAATCACAGAAAGCTGATTTTATTTGGAGTGGCAGGGTGCCCAGCTAAGTTTCCTTTAGCAGCAAAGGATGGCCAGTGAGCTACAAGCAGGTCTTTAAAACTCTTTAAAGAGGGGGGCCTGGGTGGCTCGGTTCGTTAAGCGTCCAACATCAGCTCAGGTCACGATGTCACTGTTCATGAGTTTGAGCCCCACATCGGGCTGTGTGCTGACAGTGTGAAGCCTGCTTGGGATTCTCTCTCCCCACCCCCCCGCCCCTCCCCCCCCTCCCTGGTGTCCCCTCCCTCTTTCTCTCTTTCTCTCCCTCAAAGAAAATAAATAAATTAAAAAAAAAAAAAAAAACTCCTTAAAGAGGGATATTCAGTGGGGACATCCCTCTCATCTGCTTAGGACATGAGCTCCAGATGCCATAATGTGAACATGAATGACCTTGACCTTGAGGTTCAAAGTTACATGCTAAGCATCAGAGAAGGAGCCTGGATCCCAAATAACTTTGTGAAGGTGCCACACCAATTCCAGCCTTTTTCACCAGAGAATAAACCCTACATTGTTTAATCCATGCTAATTGGATCTCTTAGTAGAAGCTGAACACAATTCCATTTTGATACGACACCAATTATAGAAAAATATATTTCCCTTGAGTTTCCAAAGTTTGCACCTTCATCCCCCTCCTCCTTGAAGCCGCATACTGAAGCACCTAGAAATAGTTTATTCGTACCGTGTAAATCCAGTGCATCAAAAAAATTTTTTTTCTGAACCTGCTTCTGGGCCAGTTATCCCTAACCAACATGTGTCAGCAATATAAAACAAGCCATTTGTATCTTTAATGTGTCACTTTGGTGCAATCTCCTAAATTTTCATGTTTTAAGCATCATGCTCTGGGCGTTAGTTAAAGGTGATAACACCAAAGAGGGTGATTGGGATTCTCTTGGTGCCAAGAATTATACTGGTTTCTGTCCCACAGTTGAGAACATAAGTCCTTCAGTGCATACAGAAACACTGTTCAATCCTCTAGATACATTCTTTACACCCATAACAGAGAGTCTGGTACAGACTGCACATTGAGTCATTATTATTTTTTGAGCCTCTAAAAATGGCCATTTGAAAAAGTGTAAGATACATGTAGATACTTTTATGGAGAACACCCAGAGACTGTTGACGCTAATCACTTGTGAGCAGTGGGAATGGAGGTCAGGGAAGGGAATGGGAGATTTTTGCTTTCTAGACTACACCTTTATTATCACTTTTTATGCTTATTTATTTATTTTGAGAGAAGAGAGAGGGAGAGAGTGTGTGTGTGCACCAGCAGGAAACAGAGGGAGAGAGAATCCAAGCAGGCTCCATGCCATCAGTGCAGAGCCTGACATGGGGCTCAAACCCACAAACTGTGAGATCATGACCTGAACTGAAATCAAGGGTCAGACGCTTAACCAACTGAGCCACCCAGTAGCCCCCAAATTACACCTTTTTTACTGCCATGGGTTTCATAGGGAGTGGTTAAGAGCAACAGTTCTAGATGATTCAAATCCCATTCCACCACTTACTGGCTCAGTGTCCCTGGGAAAGTTTATTTACTTTATTTATCAAACACTTATATTGCGATTAATATATGCCAGGCACTGTTCTGAGCACTTTTTAATTTATTGTTATTGAAGTATAATTGACATACAAAGTTATGGTCATTTCAGGTGTGCAGCATATTGTTCTGAGTATTTTAAAAAGTCATATAGAGAGGGCCCCCCATGCAAAGTAACTGAAGGCTGTCACCAGCAGCCAGGTGAATGAACATGTCCTTTGGTCCCTGTAAAACCTTCAGATGGCTACAGCCCCAGTTTGAGTACAACTTTATGGAAGACCCTTAACCAGAAGCAGCTCCCTGAATTTTGACCCTTAGAAACTGTGTAAGATGATGAATGTTTGTTGTTTTGAGTTAACTTTTACATTCGTTTGTTACGCAGCAATAGCTAACTAATACAACCTCCCACCCGGGAGGCTCCCTGTCTTCTTGCTTCAGCCTGAACAGGCTCTCCCTAGGTCTGCTTCAAACTGTGGATTTCCTTCTATCCTAGGAATTTGCTTTCCTTTTTTCCTAGTTCCACTGTTTCCTGGACTCCTGTTTTTCTCTTTGTAATTTTAATTTCTCATTTGGGTAGAGCATGCTGTCTTGTTGAATCCTTAACAAGGAGTACGTTAGTGAAAAACATTTTGAGGGCTTACATCATTGATCATGTCCATTCTGTTCTTATACTTGATTATAAGATATCAGGGTCTAGAATTTTAGGATGAAAATATTTTTTTCACTCAAAAATTTGAAGGCATTGCTTCATTTTCCTCCTAGCTTCCTATGTTGCTGTTGAAAAATATGAATCTTTGCATGTGGCTGGGTTTTTTTTTAATTGAAGTATAGTTGATATACAATGTTAAATTAGTTTCAGGTGTACAAGATAGATATTCAATAAGTCTATAGGTTATGCTATGTTCACAAGTGCAGCTACCATCTGTCACCATCCATTATTATGAAACCATTGACTGTATTCCCTATGCTATACCGTTCATCCCCATGACTTATTCATTCCATAATTGGAAGCCTGTCTCTCCCACTCCTCTTCACCCATTTTGTCCATCCCCCCCCACACTTCTCTCCTCTGGCAATTGGGTGTTTTGCTTTTGTTTTCTCTTTCTGAGAATTATTAGGAGGCATTGCAGCTGGTGATTAAGCATGCAGATTCTAGAGCCAGACTCCCTGGGTTCAACTCTGTGACTCTGGGAAATCTGTTTAACCTCTCTAGGCCTCAGTTTCCTCATCTGTAAAGTGGGGATAATGATAGTGCCTACCTCATACAGTTATTGTGAAGCTTCCTTACCCCACTGATGTCACTCCTGCTCAGATGGGTTAGTACTGTAGGCTGCTTCTGGAGGAGCGTCTAGAACAGCAGTCAGCAAGCTGTATCTGTAAAGAAATAGATAGTAAATACGTATGGCTTTATGGGCTATAAGGTTTCTATCACAATTGCGCAACTCTGCCACTGTGGTGCAAAAGCCTCTACAGACAAAATATAAATGGATGTTCCAACTTCAGCTCAGGTCATGATCTCATGGTTCATGAGTTCAAGCCCTGCGTCAGGTTCTGTGCTGACAGCTCAGAGCCTGAAGCCTGCTTCGAATTCTGTCTCCCTTTCTCTCTGTCCCTTTCATGCTCTGTCCCCCTCTGTCAAAAATAAATAAAAAACATTAAAAAAAAAATAAAATGTAAATGGATGAGCACTGATGTATACCAATAAAACTTTATTTACACGGTGGCAGGTCGCTTTGGCCCACTGACCACAGGTTGATGTGACGGAGAAGACACTGTGAAAAATGTAAAGGGAAACCTCATTGCAGTCAAGAGGCTAGAAGGAAGAGCCATACCACTTAATGTCAATCATAGGGAGAATTGTCCATTATAGACCCCAAGAGAAGAACTGTCAATTATAGACCCACTAAAGAAAAGCTGCACATTGCATATCCTATAAGAGATGCGACTCAGCAAATGAGAAAAGACTTCACCTTGAGCTCTTGCTTTGGAGAAATTCTCCAATGGAATTTCTTCTAAAAGAACCCCTGCCAACTTCCTCCTCCTCCATAAAATAATGCTCCTCTTCTTGGCTTGTTGGGCCTCCTGTGGTTTTGCTGTGGCTTCTATGTCCATAGTTGTCATTCCCTGTTATCCCCAAATTAGCCCATTTTTGCTGGTAAAATAACTGACAGGTTTTTAAAAAATTTTTAATGTTTATTTATTTTTGAGAGAGAAAGAGTGGGAGAAAGAGAGAGAGAGAGAATGATCACTGGAGGTGTAGAGAGAGAAGGCAACACACAATCTGAAGCAGGCTCCAGGCTCTGAGCCTGACATGGGGCTTGAACTCATGAACCATGAGATCATGACCTGAGCTGAAGTTGGACACTTAACTGACTGAGCCACCCAATCACCCCAACTGACAGTTTTACTTTTAAGGTGAAAATTTCTATTTTCTTTTGTGCTTATTCTATTAGACCCCTCATTTAGACACGCCCCCTAGCTGAAGCATCTCACACTAGGAAGTCTGACTACATTGTAACTTCTCCACTATGCTGTAAATTGGTCCAGCAATTCAACTGTACAAAATGCAAGGTTGTGTATTGCAGTATTAACGAGATATCCTGGGTTAACCTTTTCTGATGATGGTAGCCAACTGGAAATCACACCTGAATTTGCATTACTATGGGTCAAGTATTCACAAAATTTTACTGTACTTATACCTATGGATAAAATGTTTAACTCTTTATATTATTTTAATATAAAGAAAACAACAATGCCACAGCACTTTTATTCATTAATTCTAGGTCCAATGACCTGCCTGGGATGCAAAGATGAAAGTTACAATCTCCCCCTCAAGGACCTGAGCAAGCAAGCAATTGATATGAAATGTTACCTATATCACAATCTGCCAGCCAAGTTAGCAGAGACTGAAAAACAAAACAAAAGATACAATCGAGGCTTATTAGGAGGTGATGAAAAGGGCACTATGTAGACTTCTGAAGGCAGGTCAATTTTATACAGATTGGCTAAATTAAACCTTTGTTAACTGCTCTGGGTTCTTTCTTGGACCTATGTGTCTTGCCTGGGGGTGGGTGTAGGTAGGTGAGGAGCAGCTTCCTCCTTATTTCCCATTGCCTCTTGGAGAAGGCACCCCAAGGTGAGCTCAACACAAGTGTATCCCAAGCCCTGGACCTCAGGTGCCAGTGAGAATTCAAATAGTGTCCCTATTTCTCTTTGCCTATATTTCCTGCCCATCTTTATGAGACCATCTGCACCGGAGGAGCCCCCTGAAAACTCTTGATGGTGCATTGCTCTTGCTGTTGTATTTCCACCCGCGTGAAGACCACACCTCCTTTGCAGTTACTGGGCCAAGTCACTTCCCACCACCTGTTCATAACACTCTGTCCATCCTGGGTCCTCAGCCTGCCGGATCCCCCATCTGCCATCAACAGTGCCCAGCTGATTCTTTTCCCCTTCCATTGCCAGGGGCTACTGGTCGCTTAGTCCAACATTATGCTAGTATTAGTTAATGTGTAGCTATTTTAATTTATAATCTTCATTTAAAATTTCAAATGCATTAATGCTTCTTTTAAAAATTTAAAACAATTCAGGAGCATGTATAGGAAAAAGGGGAGAGCCCTTTCTTCAATCGACTCATCCTGGTCCCCAGAGATAACCACTGTGAGAAGTTTTGTGTTCATTCTTCCAGAACTATTTTCCAAAATGCAATTCAGACTAATGGGTTTTTAGTACAAATGTGCATAATTTATTCAAAAAATGGCAGATGAAGGAAATCACAGCTCTAGGATTTGGACTGATTCCAACTGTATCTTGTATGACTTGGCAGGATTCGAACATGACCACAATTATTGAAACTTCACTTCTCTTAGGCTTCCTGGGGACCACTTTCTGGCTGCTCCCTTTCGTTTCCCTATAGGGGGCTTCTCTCATCTGCCTCTCCTCTAAAGGTTGGTGTTTTTCATGGCTCTGGTTGATGGAGCACAGAATATATCTTCCCTTCTTCAGACTTGCAAACCCATACCTGCTATTGAAATATGTGCCAAGTTAAAACTGAACAGGAACCAAGTGTGATTGGAAATCAAATTTAGGATATACTAGCAAATTCTAACCTTGTTCCAGTCAGAGTCAGTACACATGCAGAAGACTACCAGTCCAATTATTACTGCTGCCACTGCTATCACTGGCATTCTGATTGGCTGAAAAGGAGCTCAGACCTTGTTGCAGAAATAAACACCATTGACCCCAATCACCATTATTACCAATATCCATTTCCACGCATGGATGGCCATGGGGCTGTTATTGTATAGCTGGCATGGGAAGAGGGTATGAGGAGCCGGGTCTGAGGCAGCACGGGGAAGCAGGAGTGATAGACATGAGTGAAGGATGTCATGGCATCTGTGCCTGCCGGACCCCTTGGAATAGGTTGGAGCCTTTGTCGTTAGGAGTAAAGGGCAGGTGCTATCGAACTGTTTTGTAAGGGGCATTCAGGTGGCTCAGTCGGTTGAGTGTCTGACTCATTCGACTCTTGATTTCGGCTCAGGTCATGACTCCAGGGTTGGGGGACTGAGCCCTGCGTTGGGCTCCATGCTGAGTGTGGAGCCTGCTTGGGATTCTCTCTCTCCCTCTCTCTCTCTCTCTCTCTCTCTCTCTCTCTCTCTCCCCCCCCTTTGCCCCTCCCCTGTTCATGCTCTCTCTGTCTAAAATTTAAAATAAATAAATAAATAAATTGAATTAAATTACAGGAATTGTTTTTTAAAATCTTTTTTTGCAATGAGTGGGGTATATAACACGTATAGAGAAAAATCCACAAAACAAGGGGACAGCATAAGAAACTACTATAAAGCAAACACTTACATAAGTAACCACCACGCAGATGAAAAGACAGAATATGACCAGCCCCCCAGGACCCCCCTCGATGGGCCTTCACTTTCAAAACCCTTTCGTCCCTGCCCCGCAAAAGGAACCATGTTCCTGAGTTTTCGGTAATCACTCTATTGCTTTTCTTCATACATGTATCACCTTAGAATGTATCTCTGGACCATGTCATTTGATTTTGCTTGTTTATTTTTGAGAGAGAGAGAGACAGAGTGTGGGTGGGGGAGGGGCAAAGAGGGAGAGGGAGACATAGAATCAGAAGCAGTCTCCAGGATCTGAGTGGCCAGCACAGAGCCCAAGTGGGGGCTCGAACCCATGGACCACGAGATCATGACCTGAGCCAAAGTCAGATGCTTAACCAATTGAGCCACCCAGACACCCCTTTTATTTTTAATTAATTAATTAATTAATTAATGTATCCATTCTCTGGCTGATAGACATTTAGATTGCTTTTTGTTTTTTTTCAGTTTGTGTCTATTGTCCCTGATTTCGCTTCTTTTTCAGCTTTATGTAGATTTATTCAAAATACTTTTTTTTGGAGCATTTTCTTTCACTTAACCTTTTTTTTTGTGATCGGTAAAGATTTAATTGTATAAGAAGCTGCTAAAATTTTTACTGCATGCATTTATAATCATAATTGCAGCACCATAGAAATGCAGCATCATAGACATGCTTACCATATAATGTGAAATGCCCAGTATAAAATTGTGTCCATGCTGTGGTCACAACTCTGCATAAATTATGGTTGTATTTATATAAAGGGCTGAGAAAGAATATAAAGGAAAGAGATACTTTGTTATGGTAGTAATATAGTGGATAGTTGTTTTCCTTTGTTTTAATTTCTGGCATTCTTTTTTTTAATGGTTAAATTTAATTTAATGTTTTAATTTAAATCCAGGTTAGTTAACACATAATGTAGTAATGGTTTCAGGAGTGGAATTTAGTGGTTCACCACCTACATATAAATAACAACCAGTGCTCATCCCAGCAAGTGCCCTCCTTAATGCCCATCACCCATCTAGACCATCCCCCAACCCGCCTCCCCTCCAACAACCCTCAGTTTGTTCTCTGTATTTAAGTGTCTTATGTTTTACCTCCTTTTGTTTTTATCTTATTTTTCCTTCCCTTCCCCTCTGTTCATCTCTTTTGTTTCTTAAATTCCACGAGTGAAATCATATACTTGTCTTTTTCTGACTATTTCGCTTAGCATAATACATTCTAGTTCCATCCATGTTGTTGCAAATGGCAAGAGCTCATTTTTGATCTTTGAGTAATATTCCATTGTGTGTGTGTGTAGTGTGTAGTGTGTGTGTGTGTGTGTGTGTGTGTGCGTGTGTATACATACGACATCTTCTTTATCCATTCATCAGTCAATGGACATTTGGGCTCTGTCCATAATTGGCTATTGTTGATAGTGCTACTATAAATACTGGGGTGCATGTGCCCTTTTGAATTAGCATTTTTGCATCTTTTGGATAAATACC